TCGGGCGCTTGACGAGGGCGGAGAGTGATCGCCGGTGCGAAAGGGTATGGACAAGGAGTGACTCCTGACAGGCTTCCAGCGACGGGTACATATGAATGAATCGAATCAACACCCGAAAGAGAGGGATTTCAGAGACTGTGCTAGTATGTGACGGTACAGTTGGAAATAACTTATAAGAATTAATTGGTACTACCTAAACAAACAAGATGCATCTACTTTTCGGTAGCCCGTAACGGAAGAACTCCATAGTTAAGCGTGCTTGACTTGGGGCAATTTTGATATGGGTTACCTCCTGGGAAGTTTTCCCGTGAAGTGTGAGAGTAAGGACAAAGCACGCTGAAAAGTCTTATGTCAGTGTGTGGGGACAGTCGTTAATCCTTGCAAGTTGCCAGGCATTACAAGTGGTATCAGAGCAGGGCCTCTCTTCCAGTACGGTGTAGTTCGAGGACGAATCAGGCGGAAGCTGGTGGGCATGTAACATCCCGGACGCTGACGAGGGCAGGGAGTGATCGCCGGTGCGAAAGGGCATGGACATGGAGCAGCTCCTCGCAGGTTTTCAGCGACGGGGTACATGAATGAATCGAATCAACACCCGAAAGAGAGGGATTCCAGAGAGACTGTGCTGGTATGGGACGGTACAGTTGGAAATAACTTATAAGAATTAATTGGTATTACCTATACTAACAAGATGCACCTACTTTTCGGTAGCCCGGAACGGAAGAACTCCATAGTAAGCGTGCTTGACTTGGGGCAGTTCTGGGATGGGTGACCTCCTGAGAAGTTTTCTCGGGAAGTGTGCGAGTAAGGACAAAGCATGCTGAAAAGTCTCATGTTAGTGTGTGGGGACAGTCGTTAATCCTTGCAAGTTGTCAGGCGTTACATTTGAGTTACCTAACCATGTAACATAAGATATCTTATTAAGAAATATAAAACTATTAATGAAACATCACCTAACAGTTTATGTTTTTGGGTTAAATTTGTTATTTACATGGTATCAGAGTCTCGGTATCACGATTCGATCATCACCGCCCCCATTTAGTCTTGTGGAGTTTTTTAGCATAGGTAGGTGGGTCGATACATTATCCACCTTTCAAGCCCAATGGGCTCTTGTGTGAGGGGGCGTGTTAGAAGCATGTTAGAGAAGTATAAAACCATTAATATAACATCATCCGACAACTTAAGCTTTTAGATTAAATTGATTGTTTGATATATAAAAATCATTAATATAGTCTCACTTAACAACTTAAACTTTTGAGTTGAATTGATTCTTTACATGATATTAGAAAAGCAGTGACCAAGTGATTCAATCATGTGAGGGGCCGTGTTTGATATATAAAAATATATTAATATAGTTTCACCCAACAACTTAAAGTCTTGAGTTGAATTGGTTGTTCACAGATTATTTACAATATCTAAACACATAGCATTCTCTAAGCCCGCTTCACTCTTAAGACATAAACAATGAGCAGCCTACCATCAAATTATACCTTATCCTTCTAATAAATTCTTACTTTCAAGTTGACATTCTCTTTACTTGAGTCGATACTAAAAAAAATATGTAGAATAATTTCAAATCTTTTGGATATATATACAAGATTTCGTCCAAAGGGTACATAATCACTGAAAACCATGGATTTATACAAAAGGAGTTGGAATCATATTGATAAAACCAAATAATAACAGCATTAGGATTTTCATGAATCATGATATCCACTTGAAGAATCCCTTCCCATACCAAAGGGCCAAATGCACAATATTACCGGACCTTACCACTAATTTTGTATTCCATGATTCTGATGCGGGGACCAAAGTGAGAAAGTGAAAAGGAATTGGATAAACTCTTATCTTTCTCCACATCAGCCTCCCAACCTAGCATCATACAAAAACAGGACCAAATACAAACATGCTGCAGAAGAGGGTAAGAGATAATAAGAAGATACAACATCAATAGACAGAGTAATTGGTTAAATAACATAAATCTAAATTATTATCATAATCATTTTCCTTTTTCTTATTCCCCTTTTTTGATTTTTATCTTTCTTAATAAAAACATATAGGCAGGACAAGCTTTGGCAATTTGCATTGATTTTGGTTTATGGTTTACCTTATCGACAGCCATGCAGATGACACTTGGAATTCTTTTCCTATTTGTAAAATTATTTTCCTCATATAGGCACTTCCCCCTCTGACTTTGTATAATACCAATTCTATTGGATTCCATTCTTTAGATAGATTTTATTGACAACAAAGCAATGGTTTTGTGCCATCTGCCTCAGAGAAGTTTGCATATATTATTAAACATTAGAATAATGTTCTTGATGCTGAAACCAGAACCGAAAGAGTTTTTGGGCTAATAAATTATACATTGTTCTTATTCCTGCATTGATTGCATGTACGGACACCCCAAGAGATTTGAATTACCATTTACAGTGTGATGCTAAATCCAACTTGTTCATGGCATTGCCAGTGTCACCAACTGATCTGGGAGGATTTCCCTTATCCAAATAAATATCCGAAAGGAACTTTCTTTCTTTCTCTTTCCTATCCATTTAACTATAGTTAATTTGTTTTGCTGCTTTTCTATCTTATACAATGCAATCCACCATCCTCACCAACCATTATAAATAAGAGGTGATAACGTCTCAAAGTTTACCAGAACAAACAAACAAACAAACAAAGCCTTAGCGAACAAGTACACCAGCTTCCAACACTCATCTAGCTTAATATATTCTCCCCAGCCCTTATATTTGTAGTAATGGATAGAGTAAAGGATTTGGCATCAAAGAAAGCTGCTGTTATATTTACCAAGAGTTCATGTTACATGTGCCACAGCATCAAGCAACTTTTCTATGAGCTTGGAGCAAGCCCTGCAGTACATGAGCTTGACAATGATTCCTATGGAAGGGAAATGGAGTGGGCTTTAAGGGGTCTGGGCTGTAACCCTTCAGTCCCAGCAGTGTTCATAGGTGGAAAATTTGTGGGCTCATCAAAAGATGTGATATCACTCCATGTTGATGGCTCTCTCAAACAAATGCTCATAGATGCAAAGGCTATCTGGTTTTAGTTACACTCAAAGAGCTCCATATACTGAAGTGGTATGGAAGGAGCTCTGATACTATTTACAGACAATGTTTAATCAGAGACACCGCTGCTTTTTCTTGAGTGTCCTGTTTAGATTGTACTAAAAGAAGTCTGTATAAAAAAGTCTTCTTCTTTTTTTGTATTTTGTATTTTGTAAAAGGTTAACTACATGTCTACAAAGTTATATGAAACTTGATCATGTGGAAAATTTCATCATAAACTATTGCTGGAAAATTTGCTGTAGAATATTAAAGTCTGCAAAGTATTATTACTTTTAATCATTTAATGAATAACATAGTTTTCCATCAAAATTTCATCCGCTAAGTAAAAAGGGAATAATCCGTTCCTTCATGAAAGCCAACTAACATAAATAGATCACTATTATTCCAAGTGTTTAAAGGATAGCTAGGTGTTGATTCCTCACCACTCAATTTGGCACCTGGTGCGAGGGATAATAATATTTAAATAGGCGCATCGCATAGCGTTATGTAGCGATTTTCCAACTTTGTAGTCAATAACGTTCATGGCGCATTTTTCTTAACCTTGAGACAAAAAAGTAATGCTAGCACTTTTTATGTCTCCTTTATTATTCCTCCATATCCACAAAGCAGGATATATATTTTCCTGTTTGACTCTATGCATGTGTAGACCATATATGCAAAGGCATAATTTTCTAAAATAATTTATCTGCAAGAGCACTACATGCAGTCAAGGTTGCACAATGACAAATAATTAGCTAACTTATTCATCAAATCGAATCTAACTTGCATATAATATGTATTTGAGCAACCAGGAAGACGTATTGAAAGGTTCTGATACCAATTGATACGAACCTTGAAAGAATTTTATTTCAAAAGTTAGCTCATGAGATAGGAGAGTCCGAAATCCAAATAAACCCGGTACCAGAACCTTATGTTTCCAATGTGGGACTCAAAGTCCCATACCTTCGATTAGATTAGGATCGTAACATGTATCTACCCCTGGATATTAAGTTGGATGCTGAGCAGTTATAGTACCAATTATGCATGGAGTTTCTTTAGTTAGTTGTTCAATGAAGTTGTGCTGGAACGATGTTCTAGCTCACCATATCCATGGTTCCACATCATTGGAATCCTCATGAATAACTTATTTTCATGAACATCTCTATGATCTCCTCCATGTTCTATCATAACCTTGGTGATTATCCCCATGAATGATGATGATATCCTCTTTCCTATAAATATAGAGACCAAGCATTATACATCTTGACATTCATATACTCCACCCTTGTTCGTATACTGACTTGGACGTAGAAGTCTCCAACATTGCTATCAAAGAAGACAGCATCTCAACCGTTCCAGTTACACACTACCTAAAATTCTCGAAAGGCAACGGTTTTTTAATCTAATCGCATACGTGTATTTCATCCGTGTGATCATCAACACATGCAACTTACATGATGTAAGAACTAAGTGCTGCATCTATGGAAAGTCCCAATTCACAAAAAAAAAAATTGGATTACCCAACTCACAAAATTAAACTGCTTGAGTGTGAGAAAGAATCATACAATAAGTTAGTGGGTGCAACACAAAGAATCTCGCAGCCACCGAAAGGCATCTCAGTCTCAATATCTTTTCTGCATAAAGATTCAAAGCGGTAGATTGTGAGAATCTGGTATAAAATCTATACAAAGTTTAACAAATGGTTAATAGGCGGCACACGTTTGAGACATGAAAATTGCATTAACTTAGTCACAGGAAGACACTGTTTTCATTTGTTTATGTTGACGAAAATTCTTCATATAATGGTTAACAATCGAGGCATATCCGTGTAAATATGTCTTCCAACTTGCTCAACCGTGGGTATCTAAAAAGCACAACCTCTTTTGAATGTGCCCTTGCGCAAATAAAGCTGTCCCTATAAATAGTGTAGTATACTAACTCATTTCAAATAACCTCAAGCTTCATATAATTTTCTATTTTCCAAATCTCCTCCTTAGACTGCAAACCCAATACAACCATTGGATCGAATTCTGTTTGGATTCGGTCTAATGGTTTGGGAGTTCTAATAAGTCTAAGGTAATCTAAACACATCTCTCAGAATTAGACCTTTCACTTTTCCTTTATTACAATTTTTTCTTCTTTTTTTCTTTTTAGTTTTCTCTGGAACAGAATTCTGTACATATTTAGAAGAACTTGTACTTGATAAGTATCAGGAACAAGATGGACAAGGTGATGAGGATGGCCTCCGAAAAGGGTGTGGTGATTTTCACAAAGAGCTCTTGTTGCCTCTGCTATGCAGTCAACATTCTGTTTCAAGAACTTGGGGTGAGTCCAGTGGTTCATGAAATTGACAAAGACCCTGAAGGCAGGGAAATGGAGAAAGCTCTGTCGAGGTTAGGCTGTACTACACCTGTCCCTGCTGTGTTCATAGGAGGGAAGCTAATGGGATCCACCAATGAAATCATGTCCCTCCACCTAAGTGGTTCACTGACTCAATTGCTTAAACCATATCAAGCTTAATCTTCAAAAAAGAAACACAAAAAATTGTTCCTGATACCTTGCTGGAAGAATAAACTGGCTTGAATCAGTAGAGTAGTGAGCTTAATATTGATATTCTATCTAGTGTTTTATTATTTATGTCTGAAGCGCTTTCTATTATTTGATTAGCTATAATGTAATCTGATAAATTATTCTTAATGAAGTTTGATTTATATACTTTTACATGTGTCCTATTAAACTGATTTTGTTATTAAAAGTCTACTATCATACGCTGTTTCCCATACTGCTACAAGACAATTTTTAGGGTTAATTAAGGCTAATAAAAGTCTATCATCACACGCTGGTTGATTTTGTTTAATTATGCCTCTTTCTAGCAACTACCAGTAATAATATTAAGTAACCTAATTCAAATCATCCCAGTAACATGAAAGTATCTGCAATCACTTGCTTTGAACATGTGTGCGAGTGTGTCCATCCTTGATCCTTCCTTCTGCATGTTGTAAAGAAAGTATTCTCTGAAAGATATGTAAGCTGCATCATACATAATCAACCAAACATTAACAGCTTGCAAACATATTATGGTTGTTCCTGTTTCAATCTGCCCATGTATTATATGTAGGTCAAATCAAATTTCATGTCATATTATGCCTATCTTCTCGTGTTAACCTCATATTTAGGAGTTAGGACTATTGAAGAGGGGAGGCTTCTCTATGGGTCAAAACGTGCTATGCAAAATAAAATAAAAAATAAAAAAGTAATTTAAACTTTGAAAAATATTTTAAGGAGAGAATAGAATATTATTGAGGTTACATAATAAAAGAAAAATATTGTGCTGATATGAACTTTTCCATCTATTGGCGTTGTCCACATGTTTAAAAGTTAACAGGGAAATTCTCGTCTTTTCTAATCTAGTGCAACGGATTCTTCTACTTTATCCCAGACAAAAGAGAGGTATTACATTCCTTACCCTTTTTTATCTTGTTGTTTACTTTATTCTCTTCTTTTTCCCGGCAAATAAATAGCAGTCAATAGCGAGATATGGGAAAGCATACTCTAGTGCGGTGAAACTAATCCAGCATTTATATTAAAATCTTTTCCCCTTAGTGCTAGTTTAATTAGGTGTATGTATCTTAGTGAAGAATTCGATGGCTATCGATTTTAAAATATAAATGATTTTTTTTTTAAAAAATTTCATTACTCTAATTATTTCTTTTGAGTGAGTCGGTTTTCAGAATATTCCTACTACATGAGCAGCAGGAAAAGACCCTGCACATATTAATCCTGAATTGATTATTGATTGTGTCACAATTATATTTTCTATATTCTTTTTCTAGCAAGAATAGGAAACAAATCAACTTTCCCTTCCCTAAATGCTGCTGAATTTCCCAACTATCTGGGAAATGACTGCGAACCTTAGTTAAAGTGCAGGTCTATTTTCTCAGGAAGTATACTTGACGCCTGTTAGAGGACCAAATAGTTCACTGTCGCTTGTGATGACGAAATACAAGTTGCTTACTAGTTAGAGACAAATAAAGGGTGGATTGAGGGTAAGGGCGTATTTGGAGATAGTAACTGCTGGGGTCATGGAGGCAATACCTGGGGTAGTGTGGTCCCCTATCCTCCACCAGTTTCATGTGATCCCTAGACTTCGTATCTTTTAGAATGAACATATTTAAGTGGTCTCAAAACAACTTAGCGTAAGATGTTTAAAAAAAAAAAAAATTGTTCCTCGTTAATTTAATGAAATCTTAAATATGAACAACAACTTATCAAAATAAGAAACTATAACTTACATTATATATGAGCCACGAATTATATACGACTAATGCTAGTAATGATCACAAATCATGACTTTAAGATAAGTCATTGTCCACATCCATGACATTTTTTAAATAATAAAAAATAATTAAACAAAATTATCACAAGTCATGTGTCACGATTTCAAACAACTTATTTACAAAAATAAAATAAAAATTTATAAAAAGAAGTAAAATAGAATTGTTAAAAAATTGTGGATTTGACTTATAACTTAAGGAAATTCACACTATTTCCCAAAGTTTTTCCTTTAAAAATGTTATGTTCAACTTTGAGAGATCAAGTACATCAAAAAGATGTTGAGGTTTCGTAATTTCTATATTAATATAGGGAAATATAAGAATCATGTTGCAGGAATGGCACTGTTCATTCCTGCAACAAGGATACGGCGTCGTATCCTGATTTTGGTTTGACTTTTTTTTAAGCGTGGGACCCACACTTGATTTGTGTGTGTAGGAAAGTGCTCTTGTCATGTCAAATGACAAAAAAGGAACCCATTAATATATGCACTGATATTTGTCAATGATGAAATCTGATACTTCAATATCTACTACGACTTGCATATAAATCTATTCTCCCTTTTTTATTATATTATTTTATTCTTGATGGAAAACATAGGAAGTAGTTGTAATAAATATAGAGCCAATAGGATTAGTTTCCTAGATGTGATAAAATTGGTCTAATTCGTCGGGTTGATTCATTTAACTCGCCGAAAATGAATTGAAATTTTTAACCCGCCAACTGTAACAGCCTCAAACCCTGTAACAGGATATTGTCCGCTTTGCCCCGCGCACAAGCACCGTCGAGCTCACGGTTTTACGTTTCGGATTACCCCAAAAGGCCTCCTACAAGGAAAGGTATCCACACCCTTATTTAAGGCATGCTTCGTTCCCCTCTCCAACCGATGTGGGACATTACACCAACCCACTCCGTCCCGCTTAAGGATGGATCAAAACAGGTTCAAAACAAGTATAACGATATCGCTCAAGAGCAATTTTATGTCTTTTGAATGACAATTGTTTGAATCAAACAATTGTCATTCAAAAGACATAAAATTGCACTTGAGAGATATGGTTATACTTGTTTTAGACCCATCTTATGGTCTTAATTTATTGGCTGGTCTTTAAAAATTCATTCAAGGGATTATTTTCATGTCTCCTCAAGGTGAACTAAACCCTTATAGTAGAGGATCTCTCGCTTCTGCACACATCATCATCGTACACATTGACGGTGTACTACCTCATGAAAGCAATGAGGTCTTGGACAAAAATAGTTATGACTTATTATCTCTCATCATTAGGGAATATTTCCTCACTTATATGTATCTCTTTCAACAATTGAGAGGGCATTTTGCATTCATTTTATTTATGAGTTGTTATTCTATCAAAATATAAAATTATTGTGCTCATTATACATCCCCTCAACCATCTCTGAGATTTATGGTGACTCCTCCAAGAGTTTTGATTCATATCACTACATTTAAAAACACCTTCATAGCGTTATACTTCACCTTAGAAGAAGGGATATACATCTAAGCTCACCTTGTCCTTCTTATAAAATACCTATATTTCCACTCCCACTCACTCATTTTAATTACTAAACAATTAAATTTATTAATTATTACATAAATAATAACTAATTAATTGCTAATTTCGAAAAAAGTAATTATTAAAATCAGTATTCAATAATTAATTACAAGAATCACTTGCACAAAAGAATTATCTATTAATTGAAATTATAACATACATAAATCTTGTATATGAGAGGTTGATAGGGATAGAAATGGATCTTTAAATGTGTGATTTTACGTTACCAACTCATATGAAATATTCTTAACCATTGATGAATCAATCGTGATAAGTGACTTGCATGCATTAATTTATGTAGCGAACAATTATTGAAATTAATTAGTAATTATAATAATTATAGTAATAAGTGATTTTTATATTATTGAATATTAGATTTAATAATTATTATTTGTAATAATTAATAATTAACTAGTCATTAGCATTACTTGATAATTATTACTATAGTAATTAATAATTATAATTATATATTAGTATTAATAATAATAAATAAATAAACAAGTGGGGCATGTGCCATTCACGACTACTTTAGTAAAAATATTTCCACCAAATTCCAGAGTGGGATATTTTAGGTGAAAATGAAATCACCCCACTCTGGTCAATGTCAATGAACCCGTAAAAGTCACTTCAAATCCTTACATTTGCATCACCGTTGACGTGGCACAATACGAGTAGCGAACACCAATTGGGCGTGTATATCGGGAATAAATCTTTAGTGCTACCGTTATACTAAGATTGCATCTCATCAATAAAAGTATTATACATTATAGGAGAAAGAACAAATTTGGCAAAGAAAAAAAAAATTAACTGACATATAATATTTTTATTAGTGAAATATATGGAATCTTTAGTGAAACAATAGCACCAAAAATTTATTGATAGATCGCGCCGCAGATAGTAAAACTAAAAGTAGTTGGGCTCTCGTGACTGCCCGAGTAACCGCTCTGGTACTGTTATCTATCTGAATCGGAAGAGACAGAAATTTAACCGATCGAAGAAGCAGAGAGAGAGAGAGAGAGCATAGTGAAGAAACGAACCCCATCTCCGCCCCCATCTTCTACCTCTACAATACGGTGTCACCTCCGACGGATCCTCCAATGATGGCTTCTTGGCCAGGTATTGTTAATTCTTTTAACTCTCTGTCTCTCTTTTTTTGTCTTTGCTGAATTTCACTTTCAGCTAAACTTTTTTCTTTATGAGATTTTGATTATCGAATTCTTGTTTTTTATTTAATTTTGATTCTTTATTTTTCCTTCAATTCTAGGGTTTAATTTGTGCCAAATTTTAGAAAATTGAACAATTGAGAAGTAGCTCGCGGTTTTTATTTCTGCGGTTTTGCTTGGTTCATATAAAATCTATTATGATGTGAATTCAGTATGATATGTGAGAATCCGATGTTTTTATTTATTTATTTGTTTATTTATTTTGTTGGGGTCTTAAAATTCACTATCTGAATTCAGAGACATCTCCCATAAAGATTGTTTGGAGAAGCAATTGGATCATATGAGGTGTCCACTTGGTTGTATCGGTCCTCCGGCTGTTAATTCAGATGTGCAATTTTTGCAAGCTTGCTGTAATAAGGAAATTTCCCGCAGAGTCACACAGGTTAGTTGTGGATAACATGCATATTTGTTTGGGATTTTTACTTTTTGGTCACTGAAAATATGGTATAATTACCTAGAGTTGGAAGAACAGGGATGATTAATAGACACATTTTAATTTTTTTTATTTTTTATTTTTGATAATTGAATTGTGTGTAAATGGATTGAAGTTATGGGAATGGGAATTCATTTTCAGGCGAACAAGGCGAGACCAAAACCTTTGATCCAAGGAAGTACTGTTTTGCAGTTCGATAAGCTTGGCAAAGGTGGTCACACGCTATCATGGCTGAAGGAGAGAAGCGTATTGAGCTTAAATTCCGCATATATGATGGAACTGATATAGCACACAGTACTTATTCATCATCTACCACAGTTGGTACCCTTAAGCAAAGGCTAGTTGCTGAGTGGCCTCAAGGTTAGTCATTTGATGGGGTGTGTTTGTATACTACCATTTTCCTTCTCTGTAGATACATTTGTCAACAAGTTGGTCTTCATAAAATTTGTGATATCAAATTAGTCCTTCAAAGATTTAAAGAGACATCAAAATGATCCAAAATAACATCACACGAAAGACTAATTTGAGGTTACAAATGTATGGAGGACCAAGTTGATTTTAATTGTATATTCGAGGGATCAAAGTGACTCATAATTTTGCTTTTTTCACTTAATTCTTATACATAGAAAATGAGACTCAATAATCCATGTCGATGTAATGAAAGTGATGGACCTACAACAATGATAGAACACCCCGAATAAACCACCCGTTTGCCAAATAGAGTCTTGCAAAATCTTCCCTCTTTGCCCTCAATTATATCTGAAAATGTTTTGTTGACATAAATTTCATATTATGCTGATAATTCATTTTTTTGTATTTTCAATAATTGTTGTTAAATACTATGAGGGCATGCCTGGATCAGCTGCACTGTTTTACTAAAGGTTTAGGTTTGCGTTTAGAAAACAACCTTTTTGTAAAAGTCCTAGGGTTTTCACTTGGGGGAGTGTTTTTTTTTTTTAATTTTAATTTTAATTGCAGCTAAATACTCTATTCACATTGTATTCCATAAATAAGTAATTTTAAACCTACGTTGTTCTTTTGGGATTGACTATAATATGTATCCAACTATTTCTCACTCTCACTGCATGTTTGACAACAACAAAAATAACAACCACACCTTACCCCATTACTTTTAATGAAAGCATAAATTGTCTAAGTTAAAATTTGGCAATTCTTTTCTAACTATATTTATTACTCCTTTTAGATACAGAAATACATGTCATTCTGTATGTATTTATTCTGTAGTTCTACTTGTGAGTCCAGTACCCCAGTCTCACATGTTCGGTCAAAAAATAGAAGAAACCCCAGTCTCACACATGATCATTCTTGCAGATAAATGACTCATTTACTTTTCCCATGAACAATTTTACATATATACATCAATCATTTGATTTCATTTTTTATTTTCTCTTTTCTGCAACATGTTTGCCTTACCTTCTAATGGAATCTTTCCGTTTACAGGCAAAACAGTTACACCAAAGTCAGTGAGTGACGTAAAACTTATACATGCTGGTAAATTTTTGGAAAACAGCAAAACTCTTGCTGATTCCAGAATAACTTTTGGTGACACACCTGGGGGTGCTATTACCGTGCATGTTGTAGTACAGCCTCCTATAGCAAAAAAGAAGACAGGTTTGTTCAATCTTTTCATCTGCACTCTTGCAGAAGCTTATAGGTTGCATGGATATGGATATGAGTAGGCGTATCAGTGTGGATACAGGGTACATACAAATTTTTAAAAACCAAGATACATGTATGGGAGGATATATTATATAAAAGTAGGGTTTATCATTTCTCCACCAAGAAACAAATAAAAATCCTAAAATACCCTTCATTAATTTTTCCAACCCCCAAAACGATGTAATTTTGGGATTAATGGAGATAACTTTATGTCATGTTGATGGAGAAACTATAAATCCATAAAAGTATGAAAACATAAATAATAAAGTAATTAAAATCATAAGGGAAATACAATTTTCATGATGTTTTAACTGTTTGTAATAAAATATATCAAGTAATCAAAACTACCTGAAGAGGTGAAGTTACAATTTGCTTATTAGCAAAACAATGCATGTTTAGTTTAGTTCCTTCACACCAATTTAGCTATTAAGTATGGGTTTTATTAGTGTTATGTAACATGATGTAAGGTGTTGTTTCCAACTCTCACATCAAAATGGAGAGAGAAAGTAGAATGATGAAAGAGAAAGAAAACATGTGGACCCCACCTCTTTAATGTGTGTGTAGGAAAGTGAAGTTATATTATGTTAAATGATAATCATAAAACCCATTAAGTATTCATTGAGAATAACACTAAGGGTTTATTCGAGAGACAAAAATATTATTTGTTACCAGGCTGAACTGGATTTACTTAGGTGGAGTTAAATCTTGTTCAGCTATGCAAAGTTATGTTTATCACACCTCTATCTGATTATTAGCTAGCCACAGTTATCGAGTGTAGACAGATCACATCACTTAAGTTCAATAAAAGTGATAGGAAAGCAGAGACAAGTTAATTATCAAAACAATGCTATATGCTTTTGTGACAAACCTGAACAATATACATGAGACAGAGATTACATAGAGACATCTATTTATATATAAAGTGGTATGTCATGGGTAAGGTAACTTGGTCACAAATCTGTTATGAGCATTCCTTACTCTGTATCATTAACACCAAAATTCGTACAACGAATTTCCAGTAGCAAAGCATTAAAAAAAATCCCTACTTACCTTGAAGAGAGAAATGACACGGAGTAGCGAGCGTGAAGGGGAATTCGGTCTAGAGAGGGAAAAGAAGAGAGCTGTTGTCTATAGTTTGAACACTTGAAATAAAAAAATATAAAAACACAAAAGTAAGAAACCTGACTGTAACAAGTTGCAACCTTCTCCTCCGACCAGTGGTGTCAGTTTTAAAAACGCAAAAGCAGGGAATGAAAGCAAATGTTGAGTTGATTTTGAGAGATGGATAGCCGGAGAGGCATTCGACGAAGACGAAGAGGCGCGCACAGACGGAGAGTTGGAGATGTAGGGTTGGTTGTTTGTAATTTTAAATAATTATTTCGAGTAAGGTTATTCTTACAATTTTTTTTTATAACCCTTACAATCATATTTTAACACCGTTGATTTCTGTCAATCAACGGTTATCATTTATTGTGAATTAATAATTAATTAATGAGTTTAATTTACAAAAATCATAACTGTTGATTGGCAGAAATTAACGGTGTTAAAATATGGTTGTAAGAGGTTGTAAAAAAAAGTTGTAAGTATAACTTTCCTCAATTATTTTTGAAAATATTTCAATCGGTTAATTGCTTCGCAACTAATCCGATTCGGGGCGGGTCCAGGATTAAGGCTTTAAACCTCTCCCAAAGGTGGTACTGGGGAGATTCGAACTCATGCTCTCACCCCTTTCCTCAATTGTTTTAGGAGAGAGATAGACACAAAAAATGAAAATCATGGGAGAGAAAGTGAGTATTTTTTTAGAAAGGTTATACTTACAACCTATCTTTATTTACAACATTTTACAACATAATCTTAACTATTGATTTCCGTCAATCAACGGTTATTTTTATTGCGAATTAATAATTACTTAATAAATTTAATTTGTGAAAATAATAATCGTTGATTGACGGAAATCGACGGTTAAGATTATGGTTGTAAAAGGTTGTAAATAAAAATAGATTGTAAGTATAACCTTTCTTTTTTTAATTTAGATTTTAAATAAAAAATTATTATCCTGTGTCTATCTCTTTCTTAAAATGACATAATTTTATGTCATTTAAAAGGACAAATATTTTTTCTTTTTATTTTTGATAATTGAAACGATGTAGAATATGAATATATTTAAACTTTTAAATTTATTCTTTTGTTTAAAATTTAGGGATTACGTAAGAATATTTTTTGATTAATTCATAAAATTATTAATAAAACTTAAGTAAAATATTGTGTCATAAAAAATTTATAATAAATCTAATTCATAAAATTTAGCGAACAAAAAAAAAATGAAATATCTCTTTTTTTAAAGTTCTACTTCTTTTTTTTAAAAATAATTTAAATTCTGAATAATAATAATAATATAATGGGAAAAGTGTTTGTCATTTTAAATGACATAAAGTTATGTCATTTTAAGAGAGAGATAGACACAGAAAAAATTTATTTAAATTTTAAATTAAAAAAAAATCACCTACTTTCTCTCTCCCATGATTTTCATTTTCTGTGTCTATCTCTCTCCTAAAATAACACAATTTATGTCATTTAAAATGACAAACACTAAGCCCATAATATAATTATTAAAACTTGAATTTAAATGTCTATATTATATTTTTATATGTTTTTAAAAATTATTACATATATTTTAAAAATTATTTTTCACTTAAGTATTTATAATAGTTTTATGATTATGATTTTCGTTTTGATAATTGAAAAGATGTAGATAAATATGAATATATTTAAAATTTTAAAGATTTATTCTTTTGTTTAAAACTTAGGGTATACATACGAATATTTATTTATTAATTCAAAAAATTATTAATAAAACTTTAGTAAAAAATTTATGTCATAAATTTTTTAATAAATCTAATTCATAAAATTTCCTTCAATAATATAAAAAAAGGTTTAGTGTTTGTCATTTTAAATGATTTAAGTTATGTTATTTTAGGAGAGAGATAGACACATGAAAATGGAAATCATAGGAGAGGAAAATTTAAAATTTAAAATTTAAAATTTAAATTTTTAACTTTTAATTTATATTTTTGATTTTTAATTTTTAATTTAAAATTTAAATAATTGTTTTTTCTGTGTCTGTCTCTCTCTTAAAATGACAAAGTGTTATGTCATTTAAAATGACAAATACTTCTTCCATAAAAAAAATAACATAATTGTTAAACTTGGAAATAATTTGGGAAAAAATATGTATTCCTTAAGGATTAATTTAGTGAAAAGAAATTCTTGATTTTACTTTTAGATGTGCATTTTACTTTAGATGATTATTTTACTTTAGATGATTATGTATTAAAAAAAAAAATTTGGTTTCTTCACACTAAGCATTCGAGGCAGGGTCCATGCTTGCTGCAGCACATCTGCAATTATACACCCAAAATTGTCAATAAGAGAGGGAGCGTGTTGGTGAAGCTGGCCGGAGAATAGTGCAGAAAAATAATATATATATATATAGTGCAGAAAAATAGTTCAATTACTTGCAGTTACATCACTATTTTTGCAGTTATTTTCTAAAATAACTGACTCCTACATATTACTGCAGCCTAAATACTACAAGAATAACTAACCCCGTTACATAATTGAACTACACCCATTACTAGTCACTAACTTAAATTATATTTCTATCACGTGCAAAAGTTATCTCATTTTAACACTCATTTTAAAAGAGAGATAGACATAAAATAATATTTTTTATTTAAAATTTAAATGTTAAATTTGTTAAAACATGAGGTAAATCTTGAAAAATAATCATAAAGGAATAATATATTTAAAAAGATAACAAAAAAGGGTCCTTTATTTATTTTTTTAACTGATTTGCGAGTAGCATTACAACTTATATTATTCTCTAATGATTTATATTGAGTATCCTTTGAGACGCGTTTTGATGTTTGACAAACCAAAGGTATATATTACTACATTCTTCTCATGTGCTTTTCCCCGGTTTACCTTCCAGAGAAGAATCAAGATAACAAGCAAAAGATGAATTCATGCTACTCATGCACTATCCTTTAGATCAGGAAGCATGTTTTGTGGCTGCCCTTGAAGATAAGGTTGCATTTTTCCTATTCTTGACTCTCGGGATGATGCGTAAGACAGTGTGCTATCCAATGGCATTGCGTAGGACATGTTTGGCTTTATCAAATGGTCATTGCTTGCTTCTATTAATGGTCCATTCATTTCTAGTCGTTGTCTTTGGAGTGAAATCAGATGTTAGCTTTGTAAAATTGTGACCTTAACAAGTACAGTAAGAGTGTTGCAGGGCATAAACCTTGGGCAAAAGTCCATATGGCCCGCGACATTTGATGAATGCATATTGTTTAGAAGTATATAATTTGATAAATATATTTTTTCTCCTTCTTTACATATGACTTAGCTGGATTCACGTAGATTAGTGAAGCGCCAACTAGCATTAAGTGTACCACACAATTCCATTTAATGGCACGGTTTATACTAACTTGGTGTGAAAATTTAAAGGTGTCAGCTAGTTCAGACTTGTGATTGAATCGTGTCTTTGCTTATCTCTTTCCTCGATATGTGTTTAGTAAAATCACTAACTAAATGTTATCAAAAAAAAAAAAAAAATCACTAACTAAATACTCAATAGGTTGATTTTGTGCTTATCTTTTCATTGCATTAAATTGGTGGTGTACAATTAAAATTAATAGAGAGATATTGACACAAAATTTTCATGTGTAATTTTAACATGTGATGATCAATTCCCAAGTAGTCTGAATATTTAACGTGAGTTAAATGGGTTGGCCAAAACTAATGGTTGACACGGTAAATAGGAGCGTGTTTTTATTAGTCCAGCCTTGTAAGTGTAGTTTGAGAGCCAGACGGTATTGCACTTGCTTGGGCCTTGGTTTGTTTATCTGGTAGTGTTAAGAGTTGTTTGGATGAGCTTTAAACAATATATATATATATATATATATATATATATATATATATATATATTTTTTAAAAAATTTATTAAGTTACAATTATTTTGCATTTATAATTTTTAATCAAAAAATAGTATTTTAATTTTTTTTTGTAAAAGTTTTAAATCTTGGCTTCCAAAAAATATTTTTTGACTTTTTTATTTCTTATTTTTAAAAAAAAAAAACTGCATTCGAACACACACACATAAAATAAAAAATAATTTTATTAAAAAAATAAGTTCTTTAAAAAAATAAACTCTTACAAATGAGCTCGAAGTTATGATTTTTTGGTGTATTGCTCAGAAAGAAAAGAAAGTGAGTTAGTAGGTCAGATCATAGTTAAAAGAGGTATGCATAAGTACCGTAACTTTTGGACTTGCACCCGAACTCTAGATTAGTCTTATAGACGGCTCAAAAAGTCAAACTCATGAAGATACAGGAGATTTTGATTCGCCTCAAAGAGATAATTAGGATCAGTTTCTAAAAAAAAAAAAAAAGGTATGCATTGTCCACCAAAAAAAAAAAAGAGGTATGCATTTGTTTACCAAAAAAGAAAAAAGAGGTATGCATTTAACTCGTGGTTGAATAAATTATGCCTAAAAAACATTAAATGGGTTAAAAAAAATTTAGTAGATCTTTTTTTTAAGGTTGATTATCTTTACCACCTTTTTTTCTTATAATGATTTTGTCTCAAAATCAAATTAATAATTTTCACTTAATATCGTAAACAAAAATAGTTGCTAGGAAAAAAAGATTATAAGCGAGCAACAAGAGTAATCATAATAAAAAAAGTCAAAAGGGGGTTGTAAGCCTAGACTTTGGGGTGAAAGCTTAAAGCTATCATAATTTATGAATTTATTTGATGAAGGTTTATCCTTATTATATAAGGGGACTTCGGTGTCAATGAGGTATGATTACAACTGTCACACAGGGGAAACACCCGTTGGCTGCTTCAGCTCAAAGCGTATATAATTTTTTTGACAATTGGGGCACATATGTTGTTTGCATGGATACATTCGATGTGATATTACTTGCTTTGATATGAAAGCGGCATACTTGAATAAAACAACTTTGTACATGTGTTTTGTACAATAGTCAAAAATTAGTGTAAAAATTGTATATTTTTATGTTTTTATTAGAGTGGTTCGTGTTAAAACTCAAGTAAAAATGGTCCTTGGTAAATATTAGCAGAAACGCTGCGTAAAAACTTACGTTTTTACTGTTTTTACTTAAAACTAAAAATTTAATAAAAAAAAGATTTACAAATAAAATAAAATAAAAACCTAATTTTTGTTTTCTCAAAATTATATTCACAGTATTTTAATATCTTTTTGTTTGGATATATGTTTTTTATAATTATGTCTTATAAAGCTGCAATTCTATTATAAGTTATGCTATGAGAATCGTTTTATGTTTTTGGATCATTGTGTGCATTAAAAGAAGTGAAATTATATCCTGATGAGCGATGATCCAAAATATGCAGAGTGTATAAAACAGTTAGAGCAGATTGATTATCCATTACTTGTTAATTATCACTGTTTATAGTTTTGATACTTGGTTATGAAAAATAATTTTTCTTTTTAGATAGATAAGTGGCTCAACACACATATTCATTATGTGATTTTTTTTATATGCACATATAATTTTGTATCTTGACTTTACGTTTTGTGTCGTTTCTACGTTTTACGTTTCTACCACCCCTTTTTGTTTCTACGTAGAAACTTGACTTTAACAACATTGGTTACAGGATTTCACTTCCAGTGGTATAGCATTAAGTTCAAACATGTTATTGTTAGAAAATTTTGAAAATACTACTCTATTGAGATTTAATTTCACCATTCTTGTGGATTATATTCCAGGGAGGCAAAGCAATGAAGGTGAACCTGCATTTGGAAGCACTCTATTTGTCGTCTTTTGAAGTACATTAAAATGTTGAATCAATGAAACGTTGGGTAGGAAAATGAATATTTTGTAATTTCAGAGTTGAGTGTCCATATTATTTTGTTGACACTACTAATACTCAAATAGAATGTTTTGCTAAGAAGTGATGGCAAAGTAGGCGGTTCGGTTTTGTTCCATTTCATTATCAACTTATTAAAAAATAAGTTAATTCGTCTCGTCTCACTTTGAGAGTGGGTTAAAAAACTCGGTTTACCCTATTTTATTTGACTAGCGAAGCAAATTGACCCGCCAATCCAAATCTATTTTATACTAACTCATGCAACTCTATTTAGCGGGTAGGACAGATAAGCCAAGTAGACCAAACCTATTTTGCTGACTTTGTTAAATACTTTAGTCAAAATGTATAATGTGATGTATCCTCTTAATTGTATTAAAGTGGTGATGATGTAATTGAGATTTGTTAACTCTCCCAAAATACTTTTAATTTACTTTTGTATAATAGCGCCATGCATGTCTTCTCTATATTTCCAAACACAACTCAATTCAGACTTTAGTCATAGAGTCAGGCTCCAATTTGAGTTTGGGCCAATAAATTATACATATATTTATTTTTTTAATTTTAATTAGTTCATATCATAATATATTTAAATTATATTTAATACAGAACACCTGAGCAAGTAGCATTAAGAAGAATTATAATTTTATAAATATTTTTTAATTTTACTAAAAATAATTTATTTTTTTTATACAAGTGAAAATTAGACACATAATCTAATAAAACTTACTCAAATCTTTCACCAAAAATATTTTAAGTTTTACATAAGGTCAAATTACAAATTGTAGCCCGTGCCAAATTACAATTTAAATTCGAGCCAAATTATAAATAATTATATAATAATACAGAATAAATATAATTTGTTAAAATTTATCTTGGACCGAAATTACACCCACACTTAAGTCCGCCACTACATGACAGACATCTTATCTTTTTTATCCAGTTCACATAATTTTACAAGTAAACAGATACTCCTGATTATATTTAAGGTCACATCACCCAACCATCATATTACGCAAAGGGTAGGTATAGAAAGTTAATTATCAAACTAAACTAATAATTTATTTACATATTGTTAAGAACAAGCTTATTAATTATTTATCGAATTGATTTAACAACTAACATTACATGATACAATTAATTATTTGTCCACCTAAATTAATTATATTTTATATTACCTTACTCAAGTATAAAATTCCTTATTATAGGTCTAAATGATAAAAGTTGAGTTATGTTAAGAAATGTAATATAAAATTATTCGTGTGTAAATTTTTAGGAGTTGGTTCTTCGTGACTCCATCAGTAGAGTTCAATTTCAATCCCCTCATTTGCATTGTGTGGGACTGGGAGCTTCAATCCCAATTTAGAGGTGTAAAATAAAACTATATACATGTCCACGTAAGAGCAAAAGTTGTTTTATAAGTTACGAGAAAAAAAAAACTCTATTTTACTACATTATTTAAAAAATTAAAGGTGGAAATAAAATAAATTTTTTAAAACTAAACCAGTGGTTCATAAAATACAATTCACAAAACAAACAAGCGAAAATTGTTTGTTATTTCAAATGACATAAAATTATGTCAGTTTAAAAGAGAGATAGACATAAAATAAATTTTTTTATTTAAATTTTAAATTTTTTATTTTTTGTATCTATCTCTCTATTAAAATAAGATAACTTATATCATGAGAAAAAATGACTACAACAAATAAATGTAGAAGCAACAGTCTGAGGATCTAAACTTGAATTGTCGCGAACCTAACCCTAATCAGTAATCAATGGAGGAACACTCTGCATCTGCAACTGAAAGGAGAGAGGACACGGGGAAGTTGCAGTTTGGGTAATTTAATTTAATCTTGCAAACACCTTCTCTCTCTGCAACATAAGGTTTTCTCTGCTGCTTTTTTTTGTTTCTTTTCCATTAACTACTCTTTCGTTTAATGTTTTCATGTACATACATACATACATACATGTATTGATCCATGCTTAGATGTGACCACTATAAGAGACGATGCAAAATTCGAGCCCCGTGTTGCAATCAGATCTTCCCATGTCGTCATTGCCACAACGACGCCATGGTCTTTTGTTCTCTTCCTTATTAATCTTTTTCTTTTTTCTTCAAAATTTCTATCTTTTTTCTCAATTAATTTTGGGTTGTTTTCTTCATTTAGAGCTCATCTATCAACCCCATGGATCGTCATGAACTTGTCAGACACGATGTTGTGCATGTAAGAAAAGTGTACTTGTTTCTTTTTCTTTTTCTTCCCTTGCATTCATTGCGTTTTCTTTGACATGGGTTTCCATGTATACCCGAATCTAATTATGAATTTTGATTATTTCAGGTTATATGTTCTATCTGTGATACTGAACAGGAGGTTTGTAGAATGATTTCCTTTATCCTTTCTGCTTAAAAAACCATTCACTCTGTTTAGACGTTATTACTTAAAGAAAAAAAAGTAAAAAAACTTATCACTTGACATTGACAATTCAGGTTGCCAAGGTGTGTTCTAATTGTGGTGTCAACATGGGAGAATATTACTGCGAGATTTGCAAATTCCATGATGATAATGTAAGGTGTTTAATTTGAATAAGTTATCAGCAAGAAGTAACTGGATATTAGTATTCGGCATCCTATATCCTGATTATGTTTTGCTGTTTTTTAGCATTTTGATTTGATGCCTTATAATGTTTATGTTGTTGCAGACAGATAAAGGACAATTTCATTGCGATGAATGTGGGATTTGCAGGTTAGAGTCGTATATTCATGAGATATTTGATTGTGAACATAATCTAACTTGCTATGGATTGGGATAAACTGTTTGAATTGTTTTCTGAAATATTAAGTTTTCTGTTTTATCAAATTTTCTTATTTTCAGGGTTGGTGGTCGTGATAATTTCTTTCACTGTGAGAAATGTGGTATGTTCTTGGGCCAACCTTTGTTAGTTAATCATGTTTGTTTTTTCAAGCATTAGCACCATATTTAACAAAGCATAGGGTTGTGTTACCTGGTTCTTAAGTAAGAATTTTTTTCCTTTCTTATTAGTTATTAGCATTTGCATTGCACTTGTTCTGATCTGTTCTTGTTATTAATGTCCTTGTCATATTTTAATAATTTTGTATGAGTACAGGCTCTTGCTATTCAGTGAGTTTGCAAAACAATCACAAATGTGTAGAGAACTCAATGAAGAGTTTCTGCCCTGTCTGTTACGAGGTTTGTCTTCGGCTTTTTTAATTGCTAATTTTTCTATGAGCTGTTGTTAAAACTTTTCTGACAGTGTTGTTACATGCTGACAGTACATGTTTGATTCAATAAAAGGCAGCACAATTTTGAGGTGTGGGCACACAATGCATATGGAATGCTATCAAAATATGGCCACTCAAAATCAGTTAACTACCTGATAATTCTTTCAGATTTCTTATGAGCTAAATATTTGTTGCTCATTTGATAATTTTCCCTTTGGTTTTATTCATCAGGTATCGTTGTTGTATCTGCTTGAAGACAATATTCGATATGTCTCAGAGCTGGGAACAATTAGATCAGGAGGTGTGTGGAACTTTTATCAAATATCTTTTAGAATATATTTTTCGTTGCTCAAAATATGATTGTGTTTGCATACATGCCTTTCAAGTATTATTCCAAGTTACCTTCCAGAGAACAAGTAAACTCCATAGGGTTAAGACAAATAGGAAATGAGATTTGGGAGGGCATTTTTTATTAATTTTTCCAATGATGGGTTTGCAGTGGTTAGGTAACATGCTGCCATGTATAGAGACATTTTATATAAATGCACCAGCATGAAGAATTACATATTTGCTTGAGAGAAAACTCAAAATCCCTCTTCTTAGAGAGGAAAACTTGAGGTAACTGTCTGTTTTGAGGGATGCTTTGGCAGAAGGTTTGGGAGAAACCTCTGTTGTCAACCTTCTGTATGGCAGAAATGTTTATATGAACCACTTTCTCAGCTTCCTGCTCAGCTTCCATGGAGTATTCATTACGTTCATTGGTATTAGGGATCATAAGTTATCGAGTGGCATCTTAGAGCAAGGTTCATCTGATATTCTTCCTGCATCCTTCCTTCTTATAATTATTGCCAATGTTCCTTTTTTGCTTTGGTCTTGGAAGCTGTTATAAAAAAGCCAAAAATCTGCTTGTTTTCTAAGCTAAATTTTTTGGCTTCTAAACAAAGTAGAAGTCAAAAGGTAAATATTCTTTTCAAAATCCAAATTTGCCCCAATCCCAACCAACCCCACCTCCCACAGCATCACCATTGTCACCACCACCTCCGTTGCCGCCACCACCACCACAACCCCAACCAATCTCACCCTTGCCGCCGCCGCCACTGTCACCTAATCTACCACCGTTGCCGTCACCACAACCACCACCCACACCCCACCATCACTACTACCACATCGCCGTCACTGCCACCACCTCCACCACAATCACTATCACTCCACCACCACCCTTACCGCCGCCGCTGCTTCTGCCACAACCAAATTTGCTCCCATGATTTGTTTTCACATGCCCTTTTTAGTAATTTTATACATAAAAAGTACTTTTTAATTTTAACATCCAAATTATATATTTAATTAAAAGTGATTTTCATGTACTACATCCAAATGCAAATAGTTTTAGCCTTTGAAAAAAGTCCTAAAATAAGCAAGGCATAAAGAGTCATTTTTTCAAGGTCCTTATTTATTACTTATTAATGAACCATTAAAAGCTTTCGATATTGCTAGCAATTGCTCTTTTTACATTTTTTATTTTCTTTTGATAATTATTTATTTTTCCTGACCTATGAAATTTGTCACTTTTGTATTGACGTAGTTATAATTTTTCTTGATAGATTGAAGCTGGTCCTATGCCCGAGGAGTATAATTTTGAGGTAGTTACTTAGCTCTTTGATTCTCTCTTTGCTGATCTATTATTTCATATAATTTCATACAAGAGCATCAGTTTCCAAGGACTTGATGACAATATTTTTAAAGGCATATATGATAACTGATTTATGTTATGTCTATATGGGTTTGGGATGCTCCTAGGCTAGACGAGCATGGTAGTATACTGTTTTTGGAACTTAATTATGCATTATAAAAAAATGAAGAGTGAAGAATATTATCTTCCGCTTCACATGGTTCTGAAAACTTGGGATTCAAACAAATGGCATCGCATGGTTTATACAGAATAGGCAAATTCAAATATTCTACACTACTAATTTTGCTTTAGCAAAATCTCAGCAAGCTAATGCCTCTTAAGGTCTGACTACTAATTCATGTCATACCACCCTGCTGTACGCAGAGTTGTTACACTTTCTAGATGGGAATTCATATTTCTTTACCTTGTTATGGTAATGTTTATTTCAGTTTACAATACAAAAGAGGTTTTTATTTTATTTTTTATTTTTTGGAAGGCTGGGAGAGGGGTAGATTATAATAAATATATTTATAACTTTATTTCATTCTCAAATATTTCTAATTTCTAATCATGCTGCTCTTATATACAATGTAACTACTGGGTTGCTTGGGCATCTTACAGGTTTCAATTCTGTGTAATGATTGTAACACAACCAGCAGAGTTTCCTTTCACATATTTGGTCACAAGTGTAGACAGTGCAGTTCGTATAACACCCGTAGGATTTCGACACCCTAACATGAGGAAAGGTTTTGGTGTTAGTGAAACCCAATTACAAATTCATCCAAAAATTCCTATTTGAATTTTTTCCTTTTTTATTTTTTATTTTTGGAATATTTCACTTTTGGCTATTATTCCCCGATGTAATTTCAAAGGAAATAAGAGAATATCTGGATGTACATGCAATTTGTTCTAGCGCATTGTCTCGTCCATTCAGGCAGAAGAAAAAGAGAATCATTTGGTAATTCCTGATGACATTTGAGTTGCCAAAAAGTCGAGAAAAATCAATTTCTCATTTCATTTGATGTTCGATTTTGGATACACCCAGCAATATCAGTTTTGTTGGGGCTTTTTTTTTATTGTTCTTTGGCTTTGTATACCATTAAACAAGTGATTTATTTCTCCATTGAGTTTGTCGGCCTTAATGATGAAATGAATAATGAAGTGAAAAAAAATAAAATGTTGAGTGAGCAATGTTCATGTGGACCCTATTTCGTGAACAAGCGTGAAGCACGCTAGGAATACTTTAGCCATCGCCTTTTTCCTTTGCCAATGTGAACTTTGATAAACTTCTTTTCTTCTCACATGAAACATGGGAGTATTGTATGTTATCCTGCGTTTGGACCCTCGGGTATCATACCCGTTTCTATCTACAAGTTGGTATGTGGATTTCTTCAACTAAAGAGAGAGAGAGAGAGAACTACAGAAGAATAAGACCCTTGGATATTATTATGCTTGTTTTTTTCTACAAGTTGGTATGTGAATCTCATCAACTTAAAAAGCGGAAAATAGAACTATAATAAAAGCATCTCATGTTCTATTAGATAACTTCCGTTCATTTTTAAAATTTTTTTTGAAGTTAATCCAACCTTAATTATCTCTTAGAGGTGAGTTGGCTCTTCCGATATCCCTACTGGCTTCGACTCTTTTAAATCGATTATGAGACTAATCTGAAGTGTGAGGCAGATCGGGGATGAAGATATTTATATCTGTTCATTTTTTGCCGTTAGTATATAAATTGCACCAACTACAAAAGGGAAAAAGTTAAAGTATCTCTTGTTCAATTATCAAAACAAAAGGTTTATCATTATTTAATTTTATTCATATTTTTTTTTCATTTTAATTAATTTTAATTCTTAGAAATTTTTAAGTAATAATAATTTTGAAATGAACAGAGTAATTAAATATACAGATGGTATGGGCCCTTTTAGTATGTTTGGTAAAAAGAGCCAAAAACCATTAACTAGTCACGTTTTTCTAGAATAATCCCATTCAAAGTCTGTTAAGGGCATGGGAGGGGGTCCCTATTGGGCTATGGCTATGAATGGAGGACAGTTTAACATGTTGCCTGTTAATGTTAATTAATGAGCGTAAACACCTGTCCAAGCTGGTTTGCTCACAAAAGAATTAATAATGATTTGCTTCAGTAGGTTGCTGGGTCAGAAATGTGAAGGAGGGGCCCAGTTTTTGTTCGAGCAAATTCGGCTGAAAAGGTCATTTGGGCCCACAGGCCTAAAATATTCATGCCAACGTTGCTCCTGAAAACGAAATGTTCCGTGTCCTCCAAATTCTAACCTCTCCCATTTATCTTCAATCTCTTTTGGTGGTTGGCTTGGCTACTTGCATAGTTGCATTGCAACAATAATTAATGAACTCTGTTAAAAAGTCACCATTTCTTTTATGTACCAAAAATCAAAAAAGCCATCAAATCCTTTTGAAATTTACCTTTAGATTTTTATTTTTATTTTTAAATTTCTTTGGGCATAAGTGATAAAGTTCAATCCATTTTAGGGATATAATCACACGATGGCGCACGTCCGTCAAATCTTTTGCCATACTAAGCTGGCAACACAGGATTGACCAACGCGCAAAATATCTCATTAAATTATATTATAGTCTGCGCGATATTTTTAATTATTATATTATTATTATTAAATCACGCGTTAATATATTATGAATTTTTCTAATCATGGTAATTGATTTTTCTGAATGATGTAAAAAACCTTGATTAAGATAAAAAAAAATTAATTAGTTACTAATTGAGTCATTTTTTTTTACAAACCTACTTGAGTTAAATATAACATTATTGATTAACCCTTATCTTCTAGACAAGAAAAGAATAAAGAGAAATTCTTCATCTAAAAGAACTGTAACCATTAGATAATATCCATTTATAAGATACTCATTGAAACATTTATATGATTTAACCATGAATATGCTTTATAAAGGAAGACTTTGAAAACAGAGATTTTTTCTTCTTTTTTTCATATTCAAAACAATAATTTTATATGATTCATATATGAGCAACTGGTTTCTTATACGAAACTATATTTAAATTATATAAAACAATCAACGTACATAATAAGATTATAATACTTTTTACGAATTCATATGAAAATACGTAAAGAATACACCGAAAATTTGAATTTGTACAAATATATGACACACTTCTACATGCAAAAGATGAGTCCAAAGCACAAGATTCACTAATTTTTTTATTTTATTTGTTTTCCATTTTGGGTAAGAAGTTGCGAACTTTTTGGCCTAATTTGATTCTCTTAATTGGAAAGCATATTAAAAGGGTAAAGTAATAATAAAAATGTTATGTAAAGTGTTTTTGCTTACCCACCTATCATTTTCAAAGTCCAAATACTTCAATTTTGGCCTTAATCACAAATTTCAATTCAACTATCCTTCATCAATTTCAAAAGGACAAAAAAATAAAAAAAAAATAAAAAAATCAACTACACTTACTTTTCTAAGTAGTTCTTGTTCCTCAAGAAATGACTCATGATAATATATATCTCTCTCTCTTTCTCGTACACACACAACCATATCTCATAAGTCCACCAAACAGTTTCTCTCTACCAATCTCATCTTACACATAATTTCTGTGAACTCACACATTAAGGTCATAGCCAAAGGAAAGAAGCTATGAGTAGTTATCAACATACACACCAAACAACACAAGACTCACACAAAGTGACACCATGTGACTATTGTGGACACACAACAGCTGTTCTCTATTGCAGAGCTGATTCTGCAAAGCTTTGTTTGTCTTGTGATCGTGAAGTTCACTCTACAAACCAGCTTTTCTCAAAGCACACACGCACTCTGCTCTGTGATGTATGTGATGATTCCCCTGCTACTATACTCTGTTCAGCTGAATCCTCTGTTCTGTGCCAGAACTGTGACTGGGAAAAACACAACCTTTCTCTCCATGAACGGAGGCCTCTTGAGGGGTTCACTGGGTGCCCTTCTGTCACCGAAATCTTAACAATTATGGGGTTCCAAGATATGGGTAAAAAATCTCTGCTTTCATCTGATGAAAGAGGTGTTTCTGGTGATGGGTTTTTAGGGTACGCGATTGAAGAAGGGATTTCGGATTTGTTTGTTTGGGATGCTCCTTCTTTTGTTAGTCTTGACGATTTGATTTCTTCTTCTGCTTCTTCTCATAATTATCATGCTATGGAAGTTCCTCCTCTGCCCAAGGTATATGTATAATTGTATATGTATATGTATATATGTATATGTATGTTCCCTTTTATTTTGTTCCCTTGTTTGGATGCTTGGAAAACAGAAAATGCAATTAGAAATTCATTTACTCTTTTGTTAGAATTGAGGAGTTCATTTTGTGGATCTAAGCCTTATTTTTTTAGACTATATATAGTATTAATAATTTATGGATTTTTAATAATTAATTTTTTGAATCTGGATTGTTTGGATGTAATAGAATAAATTGAAAATCTGTGTCTATTGCTACAATTTTGACTTGTTGAGGGTTTTTTTTTATTATTATTGAATCAGAATCGTAAGGCTGCTTGTGGGCGACGCAGAGAAGAGATTCTTGGTCAGCTTCGTGAACTAGCAAAGTCTGAGCCCTTGGACCCTGATCCTCATGTGCAATCAGAAAAATTGTCCTCTGGTTTTGAACGTGACATGGAGGCTGATCTATTTCCTTCTCATGAGGTAAAGTGCTAATGGGATAATGTGAGTAAAGAATTTCGTATGTGATTTTTGTTGGAGACTTTAATTGTTAATGATAACAGTAATTGATTTCGTTTGACAAGAACCTATTTGCATAGAAGTTGGATATCAATAATAATTTTCATCAATAATAATTCTATTGGGATAATTAATTTTAGTTTAATCAAGAATTCATGATTACAATATTATTATAATCATGAATCCCAATTTACTCTCTTGTGATAAATCTTTTTCAAAACCAATCACCAGCAACTTCTATCTTGCTTTGTTATTTCCTATGGCTTGTTTTGTTCTATTGTTATTATGGATAGGCTAGGTCTCTAAGAGGTTGCTCTTTTAATGGTGGAACCGTTCAATGCTGCTTTCTTCACTGTGTGCAAGACATTCCTGCTGATTTTTTTCCCATTTAAAAAGACACTAGAACCACTGAAATCTTATGGACTTTGTATTTCAGTGTCATAGAGAAAGCAGTGAGCCTATGTATCAAGTTGTTCCTCCTGATACATCATTGAGAGCTTATACCGATGAAATTCCAGTTAAATATTCGACTTCTGCTATCGAGGAGACTCATAACTATGGCAACAATGTAGAGCAACCATCAAATTCTCTCAAGTGTGAAACCTTATCAATTACTCCTAAAGCTGCTCCATGTGAGTTAACGAGTCAAGAAAGAGATTCTGCATTATTACGGTACAAGCAGAAGAAGAAAACTAGAAGGTATATTACTATACTAGCATCCATTGCTCGCTGTGCCTGCGTGTGCGTGTGCGTGTGTATGTGTGCGTATGTAAGAGAGAGGTAACTATTCTAATGCTTAGAAATGTTCATTTGAGACTGAGCTGCAGAATTTCTGGTTTGTTAAATTCTTAACTTACCATATTCAGGAGTTTAACCCTAATTTGCATTGTTTTAGTTTCTGCTGAAGTTATTTTCTTTTTTATTTATGAATGCAACAAACTTTAACTCCTCCTAGAAATGATGAAGTTTCATAAATATTGGCCCCAACTAGTATTCCTGGATATGTTTTGGGAATTTTCTGTTCTGATATAATTTCTTGGAGATATCAAGAATAAATTTATACTATGCTTTCTCAAATTTTTTGATTTAATGAGTTCAATTCAGACTTTCCTTGAAAAATGCTGTTGTTATTCTTTTTATTATTTTATCACCATTTACTGTGAAGTGAAGTGTGATTCTGTAGTTGATCATGCCTTGTCCTCTCCTTGCAATTTTTAAATGATTGTTGGGACTATATGAGCTAAGTGTACATATATGTATGATCTTTATGATTGGTATATATAAATTTATAACTTTCCTAGATTTATTAAATTGACACCCTTTACGTGGATAACAACAGATATGACAACCGCATAAGGTATGAATCACGAAAAGTTCGGGCAGAAAGCAGGATACGAGTTAAGGGCCGATTTGCCAAGATTGAACATTGAAACATGGTAGGCTGCTATGTAATGTCATTATAACTATAATTCTCGGCTCACATCTCATAAATTATGTAACATGTCCCTTGTATAGTGAACTTAACTATATTTTGCAAGTGATATATCCTTGGATCCAGAGCTTGGATATTGTGCAGACATATTCCAGCAATACAGTTGATAATAGTGTTCATTCCTTTGCACTGTAATTGATTGCACGTGAGGAAAATAAAGAAGTGGAGTCTTCTTTTAAATCAAATTTACAGGGGATTTTGGCCTTAGATGTTTTTGGAGGGTATGTGGTACCGGTGGACTTAGACTTTTGTCCTCTCAATTCCCAGATGAAAAAAAAATAAAAAAAATCCTCAAAGCTCGAGATAGGACTCCTTAAATTGGTTTGAACCTCAGTGTTGATCATTCCATGGGAGCTAGGGTAAGCAAGTTACACATAACTAAGTATTTGAATATTCTGTGAAAATTCGATCCTCCTCAGTTTCATCTTTGGAAAGGGTTTAAAGCTTTAATCCTGGACCCGTCCCAAACAAGACTGTCTTCTGTAGAGAATACCTGTAGTTTATACACACACAAAAAAATAAAAAAACTACGAATATAAAAGTTAAGGTATAACACAGCTCAGAAAGTATTAGCTGAAGATTTATGAACAAACGAATGAACTGAGTTTTCTGAAATTTTATCTTTTCTTGTTTGATCAGGGGGATATCTAATAATAATACTGAAGTTTTGTCTTGCTTATACATACCCATACCTATGCCAATGATATAACTGTTGGTTCTGCTAGGGAGAGATAATCAGTTTCTACTTGATCTGAACTCAGTTGAGTCTGCATGTTTTAGCCCTCCTTTAAATTTACCTGAATATGTGCTTCCAAGTACTTCAAGAACAATGAATGCAGTTGAGAGGACAATTAGATCGGCCTCTCTTGGGCCTTGGGGAAAAGGGTGCAAATCAAAGAGTTAATTGCAAAAGCAAAGTACATAAACTGTCTTAAGTTATCATACTAACTAGTCTGGTAAATGCTGGAGTATGTGTAGATGAACAGCATTATAGTCTCATATAGAAAAGCAATATAACTAGTTCTTTTCTTTGTGTATTATGAATTGCCAAGTAAATAATTTAGTCCATTGTTATATGATTGAATGTAATATGCATGGGAGGCAATCTTGTTACCTCACAGACCCCCACGTGTGTTGACATTCAAATTTTTATACATTTTGTGATTTCTTCTAGGGTTTAACTTTTCTTATGTTGTAGGATTGTAGGAGAGAAAAAAAGTAGAGAGAAGTTAAATGTGGATCCCATATTTTATATTAAAAAAGAAAAGAAGAATTATTTGGCACAGAAAACGAATTTGTGTAGGAAAATGAGAGTATCTCATGTGGCATGAGAGTATTATTTCCCTTTCTTCTATTACATATATATATGATAACTTTTTTATCTTCTGTCTTGCCTACTTATAGCACTGATATCATAAGCATACGAAGGTGGACATGGAACAGAAAAGATACATTGGAGAAGGGAGCATTTTTCCAGCTACTGCTTTCTTCTGTAGTTGTTTTGGAGCTGTAGCTTGGATAATGCTTACGTTCCAGCAAAATGTAAAGCTTGTGCAAGTTTTTTTTTGCCCCATTACACATTATGAATGCTTAAACGACGCAGAGTTGTCGAATGTTAGTTGTACACATTCCTGTGAGATTTATAAAAATGCGAGATATTGAATATCCAAAAAAATAAATAATAATAAAATAACGAGATACTAGACATATCTGTAAGAAGAACTTGAATGAGGAATGCATTGAAAAAAACGTGTATCATTTAAATGATACAGTTGTGTTATTTTATAGTCACAAAAAACGTGAATTTTACTAAAAAAAAATAAAGGGAAAAGTTCACCAATGTTTCTGCGGTTTGCTTCAGAATCACCTATGTCCCTGTGGTTTTTTTATCACATATGTCCTTGTGATTTGCAAAAAGGTATGTTTTTTATCACATATGTTCCTGTGGTTTTTTATTTTTTACAAAGTACAGGAACATATGTGATAAAAAAAAACCACATGAGCATAAGTGATTCTGATGCAAACCACGGGAGCATTGGTGAACTTTTTTCAAAAATAAAATAAAAGTATAGATTTTGCCTCTATATTTTTATAGGAGCAGGTTATATTTACAAACTTTTTTGTTTACAAACTCTTATAAATTACACTATGTAGGACCGGTCCTACATTAATTACATAGTGTATGACTGGGTCCTATATTAGTGTAATTGTAAAAAAAATTTATAAACGGATCTTATCTCATTTTTATATAATGTAAAATTTAAACTGATACATATTTTTTCTTAGTTTGAACTTTAATAGTTTCTTCTTTTACTACCTTAATAATATTATTTATTTGGTAGAAATAATTTTTTTACTTTATAGTGTTAAAAGCTTTCGTCGGTTTGTACTAAAAAAAAAAAAAAGGTTTCGTTGGTTAACGAGCCATCCCACACGTAATGATGTCTGGCACTATTCATGCCCAAAATGGGGTGAAAAGGAAGGGACGAAGCTAGAGCCATCATGGAGCAGCATTAAAGAATGGGTAGATAGCTCTCGTTTTTAAATATTTATACTAACTAGCTAGCTACACCAAAGGACAAGTCCTTGAAAAATGGATTGGTGAGCAAGGGAGAATAGAATGTCTTCCTCCTGCACTAGTTTTTCGATTCCAATACTAACCTTTTAGTGTTGGAATTCGATTCTCTCAAGTCGGCTAACTAGTTTTTCGTGAAAGTCACTCAGAATTCTGGATCTCGAATCTCGGCAATTTTACCTTGGCTTAAACTTTACCAGGTCGGGCAACGCAGCGGAAAACAAAAAAACACAAATAGGAGGGAGAGAAGAAAAATACAAACAAATTTTAAAGTGGGAAACCTTCTCCGATGAAGAAGTAAAAACTCATGAGATTTAGTCCAGATCAAACGTCCACTATGTAAATAATGGATACAAAGAATCAAAATACGTCAATGTGGTGGTTAACACAACCTCTCCAACAATGGTGATAATCAAACTACCTAGAGATATTTTACTCAAACTCTATCTAGAGATCTCTCAAGTACAAAGTTTAAAGTTTTACTCTCAAATATCTCAATTAATTTTCTCTCAATTTTTTTCTATCTTCTAACCTAGCCTCCACCCACAACAAATGAATATATAGAGGATATGAGATCTGGGGTTTAAAGTTTAGAATTTTTGAAAAATCTCTGAATGAGCTCGGACTTAGCATTAAAGAAGGAAGTCCAAAATTTAGTAACCGCAAAGAAAACAACTGCGACAAAGAGAACAAATATTAGGAGTTATGTGATACATCATATAGATTATTTAAAGAAAGTAAATTAAATAATAGTGAAGGCAGAGAGATAAGCAAGCACCTTATCCACAAGCAAACGTTCGAAATGTGAGATATACAAAGGAAATAAAGGGCATAAAACCGTGAGCATCACAGCGCAATTCATTGAAAAGTTGTAACCGTGTTTTATGATTTAAGCAAGCATTGAACTCTTTGTTTTGTGTAGTATTTTCTTGCCTAGTTCTTTTGTTACCTTTTTTTTTTTTTTGCTGAATATGATTTCTCGGATTTTTTCCAAAATTTGCAAAGAAACAAAGTATATATTGTCACGCAAGCAAGAATAAGATAAACATGGTACGCAAATTAAAATCGGAAATACTGAGCAAGATTACAAAAAAAAAAAAAAAAAAAGTTGTCAAGACTTTAAATTCTGAAATACTTTTCTATTGATTCATCACATTCATTTACAGAGGATGAGTATTTATACACTTTATCTTCAAAACTAATTCCTAAAAATATTCTAACAACTTCTTAAACAAGAATTTGTTGTAAACAGAAACATAAACAGAAAGATAATCTAAATCTTTACAACAGTAATTCAATTTCAAATATCTCTTAATCTAACACTCCCCCTCAAGTTGGTGCATGGATGTCACACATGCCTAACTTGCCACTTGTATTATCCAGAGCTTTTCCTGAGACTGCTTTAGTCAAGATATCTGCTAGTTGACTTTCTGATCTAACAAACGGTGTAGTGATGATTTTCTGATCAAGCTTCTCCTTTATAAAATGCCTATCTACTTCAACATGTTTTGTTCTATCATGTTGGACTGGGTTATGAGCAATCTCAATAGAAGCCTTGTTATCACAGTAAAGGCTCATGGGAAGTTCATAATTAACTCCCAAATCACTTAAAACATTTTTTATCCATAGAAGCTCACAGATACAATAAGCCATACCTCTGAATTCTGCCTCGGCACTTGATCTTGCAACAACCTTCTGTTTTTTACTTCTCCATGTGACTAGGTTGCCTTCTACAAATGTGAAATAACCGGAGGTAGATTGTCTAGTAGTTTTATCCCCAGCCCAATCTGAATCAGTGTATCCTTCAATGTTCTTTTTGCTGTTTTTCGAGAAGAGGATACCTTTTCCAGGTGTTCCTTTGAGATATCTCAAAATACGATATACAGCTTTCATGTGATCTTCACTGGGAGAGTGCATGAATCTGCTTACCACACCAACTGCATAGGCAATGTCTGGCCGAGTATGTGACAAATATATTAGCCTCCCTACTAGCCTTTGATATCTTCCAATGTCTGCTTCTACTTGATTCGGATATATACCAAGTGAGTGGTTCATTTCAATGGGATTCTCAGCTGGTTTGCAAGCCAACATTCCTGTTTCTGATAAGAGATCTAGAGTATATTTTCTTTGAGTTAGAAAGATGCCTTTCTTTGATCTTGCAATTTCTATCCCAAGAAAATATTTTAGAGGTCCTAGATCCTTCATTTCAAATTCAGCTGCTAAATTTTGTTCCAGAGACTTCATTTCATCAAGATCATCTCCTGTTAATACCATATCATCTACATACACTATTAAAATGGTTACCTTTTGTGCTCTGTGTTTATAGAACAAAGTATGGTCAGAATTACTCTGTTTGTATCCGAATCTCTTCATTGCCACAGATAAACGCCCAAACCATGCTCTTGGTGATTGCTTGAGTCCATATAATGCCTTTCTTAGTTTGCAGACCAGATTTTCCTTGGACTGGGTTAGTTGTACCCCTGGTGGTATGTCCATATAAGCTTCTTCCTCCAAATCGCCATTTAGGAATGCATTTTTAACATCAAATTGTTTCAAAGGCCAACCCCTGTTGGCTGCCAAGGAGATTAGAATCCTTATAGTGTTGAGTTTAGCCACCGGAGCAAATGTTTGCTGATAGTCGATCCCATACTTCTGTGTATATCCCTTGGCCACCAGTCTTGCTTTGTATCGGTCTATGCTTCCATCTGCCTTTAATTTGACTGTGAACACCCATTTGCACCCAATTGGTTTTTTTTCATTTGGCAAAGATGTTAATTCCCATGTTGAATTGCTTTGGAGTGCTTCCATTTCCACATTCATTGCTTTCTTCCAATTTGGATCATCCAGTGCTTCCTGTACACTATTTGGAATTGACACACTAGATAATTGATTAATAGATAGTGCATATGATTCGGACAATTGTTGAGTGGATACATAATTGCTGAGAGGATATTTAGCTTTGACTTGTGGGTCAGGTTCATACAATTGTTTCGGAATACCTTTGTTTATTCGAGAGGATTTTCTGATGTGTGTGTCAGGAGGTGAAACAGAAGGAGGAATAAGATTTACCTCGGTATTATGTTGAATTTCTGGGGCAGCCAGAGAAGATCCTTCGGTTATATGTGTTAGATGAGGCATCTCACTTTGTGGACCATCATTTACTGCAGTGGAAACTGCTTCTGGTTGGTCATGTGGGGCTGCTTCAGGCTGAAAATTCTGGACAGCCACGGACTGATTATGTTCTGGTGTAGCTGGTTGTTCATTTGCGGCAGGAAGCAAGTTGTTAAGTGGTACGATGTAAGTAGAAAGCCAAGCTTCTTCTTCTCTATTAATTACTGGTAATGGATGCTCCCCCTGAGAAGGAGAAGTGGAGGCTCCCCCTAAGTAGTATGGTTCATCTTCTCTGAAAGTGACTTCCAATGTGACATAGAATTTATGAGAGGAGGGATCAAGGCACCTGTAACCTTTTTGAACATCTGAGTAACCAACAAAAATACATTTTCTGGCACATGGATCTAACTTGGATCTCTGGTTTTTGGGAATATGGACATATGTGGTGCATCCAAATATCCTAGGTTCAAGATTAGAGGGGTGAGGAATAGAGAAGTGAGAGAGAAGTGTTTGGTAGGGGGTTTTGAAGTTGAGGACACTAGAGGGGGTCCTATTGATGATGTAGGCAGCAGAGGTAACCGCCTCTCCCCAATACGAAGAAGGTACATTCATGCCAAACAGGGATGCTCGAACCACTTCCAATAGAGTACGATTCATTCTTTCAGCCAAACCATTCTGTTGAGGAGTGTAGGAGCACGAAGTCTGATGTTTGATTCCATGAGAAGATAAAAAATCATTAAAACCTCCATCCATATATTCCATTCCATTGTCAGTCTGAAGAACCTGAATTGTGCTGTAGAACTGCGTTTGAACCATATAAAAAAAATTTTTAAACGCAGAAAACACATCTCCTTTGTGTTTTAAAAGACTCAACCAGCACATACGAGAGCATTCATCAATAAACGTTACATAGTAATAGGACTTAGAAAGAGAAGGGACCTTTGCAGGACCCCATACATCTGAGTGGATAACTTGAAATGGAATAGTGCTTTTATTAAAACTTGGAAAAAAAGGAATTCTGTGGCTTTTAGCTAATGCACAGACTGAACAATGGAAATCACTAACATTTATCCTAGAAAAGAAATTGGGAAACAACTTATGAAGATATCGGAATGAAAGATGCCCCAGTCTGCGATGCCATAACCAGATTTTTTCTTTTGCTTTGTCCACAGCAGAGGTAGTAGATGCACGAGGAGAGAGTTCGTTGCTACAGGAAGAGACATCCAAGAAGTAAAGCTTGCCTTTTCTAACACCATAACCAATGATCTTCTGCGTTTGGTTGTCCTGGAAAATACAAGAGGTAGGGAAAAAATGCACAGAGCAATTAAGATGAAACGTAATCTGACTAACAGAGAGGAGATTAAATTCGAGTGAGGGAACAGCCAACACAGATTTAAGATGTAACAAAGGAGAAAGGGATATAGAACCTTGACCAATTATGGCGGATGAACCACCATTAGCAGTTGAAATCTCAGTCTTAGGGGAAGGGGAAAAATCAGTCAGCAATGTATGATTTTTAATCATGTGATCAGATGCACCACTATCTATTATCCAGGAATCAAAATCAGATAATGTAAGGAGCGCATTGGACTTACCAGGAACTCCTTCATAAACAGCATTGGCAGAAGGGAGAGGAGAGTTACCCAGGACTCCTTCGTACACAGCATGGGCAGAAGAGGAATTAGAAGTCATATCCGGTGAGGGAGTGGGAGCTCTGTGCAGAATTTTCCGGCGAGGCCTTTTAGTAAAATCCCACCAATCGGGATACCCAATGATCTCATAGCATCGAGCTTTGGGGTGACCAACATCTCCACAGTGAGAGCAGAGTGGTTTCGGAGGAAAAGAATCTTTGCGAAGCTTTGGAGGACCAGATGATGGACGGCCGCCTTTGGCCACCATGGCTGAGGGCTCAGAGGAAGGAGCTGGACGATTCATAGTGACGCGTTGCTGGTATTCCCTACGGACGTAAGCATAAGACCCCTCAAGATCCAATTTTGGGTCTTTGCGGAGGATTTCACCGCGAACCTGATCAAACTCAGCATCAAGACCGCTGAGAAAGATGTGAACACGTAATCGAACGATAGAGGACTGCATGTGGACAACCCCAGCAACGGTGTCAGCCTGAGAGGAGGTACGATGATCTATATCTTGAAATATGGAAAGGAGTTCATTGTAATAGACAGAGATTGGGCGGCCATGCTGTTTCGTTGTGAAGGAACGTTGATTCAACTCAAACAAGCAAGTTTCATCGGAAGCATCAAAGAAGGTTCTTCGTGCGGCATCCCAAATTGCCGCTGCCGTTTCGAGGCGCAGGAAACGCTGCATCAAAGAGGGAGTCATGGAGTCTATGAGCCAGCTCTTGACTCTCTTGTTGTCGGTAACCCATGAATCGTACGAAGGGTCACCAACCGGTGGTTTCAGAGACGTTCCGGTGAGAAATCCGGACTTGTTACGCGCTCCAATGCGCATTTCTAGCAACTGGGACCAAAGAGGGTAATTGTTGTCATCTAGAACAACGGTGATGGGAAAAGATGAGATATCTTGTTGGATAATGATGTTGGAGGGTGGAGGAGGAACAGGGGAAGACGCGGCGGTGGGGTTGGTTTCAGGGGATGAATTCGTTGTGTCCATTGAAATGGATTAGGGATTTGGAATGGGAAAGGGAAACGGGTTTTGGGTTCGGGTAAAAAAAATGGGTCTGGGTTAGGGGAAAGTAAAAAGACGATGGAATAATTAATGGAAGAAAAAAAATTTCCTTGGATCATAACACAACTGATACCATGTCAAGACTTTAAATTCTGAAATACTTTTCTATTGATTCATCACATTCATTTACAGAGGATGAGTATTTATACACTTTATCTTCAAAACTAATTCCTAAAAATATTCTAACAACTTCTTAAACAAGAATTTGTTGTAAACAGAAACATAAACAGAAAGATAATCTAAATCTTTACAACAGTAATTCAATTTCAAATATCTCTTAATCTAACAAAAGTGTCTTATGGCACAAACGCTTCTCAAATCTCCAATGGAAGGGTTCTTTTCACGGAACATGCCACGTAATGGTGGCATCGTTAGGAGAAGTTTCGCATGGAACTTTTTGGAAAGGAAATATAGGTTGAGTTCATCATTTATGGGGTTGAAGTTGAACTCAATGCTTGAGTGAACCATATTGAAGAAGAACGAAAAATAAGTTTTATTAATTTGCTTTGTGCCTAAAATAATAGAAAGGCTAATTACGAATTAGAAACCTAACTTAAACCGCAACAAAGTTATGGGATGATTCAACTTGAGCATTTTTAATTAAAAGAGTGTCTACTGCGCACATACCATTTCTAAACTACTGTCATTAGTTGGCTGCGGAAGTTCAAATTAGAACTACTTTCATCATAATAAATAAATACTAGCTGTGCTATTATTTTAGTATTAGTGTACATTTCTATATATTTTTCAAAATTAGTTTTTGTTTAATCAATTGTGGTTGCGATCGACGAAGGAGTTTTCGTTATTGCAAACATGATAGAAAGCTGACAGGGAAATCATACAGAAAATTCATAATTAATAATCGCTTGATTGCTTAAATAAATAAAAATAATAAAAAAAAGAACTTAGTTTCCTTCTAGAGACATGCAAATTTAAAAACCACTTAATTTTATTAACAAATTACCTTTTGTTCCATAAAGTCTTTTTTATAAGGATTAAATATATAGAGCAGATCCTATATTATGGTAGTGCTTCCTAGCTTCCCTTCCTTTATAATTACTATGAAACATTAATTTTCTTTAATTTCAAGCAGGAGGAGGGTGGAGATATGGAGAAGGTAATCTATTGATCTAGGGTAGCTACGGCATTACTGCTATACCTACTTTCGAGACTGAAATGACTTCATCTCAAGCATTCAGATACCTACCTTCAAAAGTGAAATGATTTCATCATGCATTCAGAAACAAGTAGCTATAAGCATTGTTACTTCTCTTAAATAAATAGACCTACCATCTCTGATATAACATATTTACTACAAATGAAAAGCACTTAATTTAATCATTACTTACTAGTGCTTAATAAATTAAATATATAGATAGCACCTATATTTAAGTGCTTGGCGTTCCTCATCACCCAACAACTACAAGGTCTAAACCAAAACACGATTCACACACAGTACAAGGACACTCTTGATTAACACTACACACGCACATACACATATATATGTCTAGATTGACCTGTTATGGAGTTTGAAAACAGAGAGCGCCACAAGCAAAAGAAAGACCATTGAGCCAATCAGAGACAGGACCAAAGCAGAGTTCATATGGCGACAGTAGGCATCAAACACATTGCACACTTTCATCCATTGCACGTGTGAGTTCCCATTCTTTCCTATAACTCCCACTGCAGAAGCTGCTCCATTGGCCGAGAACAGCAATGCCATGATTACAAGGTCTAGTATGGTTAGCACCAAGAGTGTCACACTATTTTCACTGCTTCTCGACATCGCCAAAATGACCAAAGATGCAGCTGTATATGAACATGCTATAGCGTTTGACACCAAGAAAAACCTAATCCACAAAAGAAAAACAAAGGTGACAAACAGTTATTATTTTTGAAATAATGTATAAGTTGATGGTTACACACCACATCTTAGTCTAAAATATAAAATATTAAAGCAACGAGGTTATGAATCTTTTTATACTTATATGGTCTTTGATCAATTAAATACTACTAAATCTGATTTCATTACTCATCATTCAAACTTAATTGATTCTTAACCTGAGTTGCCTACCTGTGCTAAGAAAGTCCACAAAAAAAAGTGAGGGGTGATGAGGTTCTGATACCATGTAAAGAACTTTGGGATACATCATCTCAAAAACTAGCTCAAAGAGTGAGAGTGTCTAAGACCTTATAAACTTCACGTTAGTTGCTCATACAACCGATACGAGACTATATATGTCAACACTTATCATTCGCACTTAAATTTCTAAAGAGGGTGTACATGTAATAGATTATTAGTGGTGAATGAGTTATATAGCTAGGGAGCTAGAGAGATGAACTTACACAATAGCAGACATGTATTCCCACTTAGCAGTTGCTTTGAATTGCATTCCAGCGTAGGAGATGATCTTTGTCTCCTTATAAACACCAACAATGATGGTTGCCACAAGAGTGAGTGAGAGCCCCAAAAATCGCAGCAACACATCATAAGGCCTCACCTTCGTTGGCGTCTCCACCACCTTCACATCGCTGTGAACTCCATCCACGCTGCTTGGCTTGTACTGGCTTCCCATATTCTCGAATGTTAAAAGGAAGTGAAGGAGTATTTGTGTATCTGGATCTGGTGTTATTTTGAGAAATGGAGACAGAGAAAAAAGGTTTAACTAATTTAGCAGTGTGTGTAACGATGGGAAAATGTATATAATAACATATAAGGATGGAGCAGCAGAGGTTGATAAGGGTATAATAAGGAAGAGGAGACGAAGTATGAATGAGAAAGGTGGGGAGGTTGGAGCTGCATTCAAAGCAAATCGTACGTACGTATTTAATGTCATCAACGATCTATGGTTAATGCTTTCGCTTTTGTCTCGGAACATCTCATTTTTAGTCATGTCATTACTTTTTCTTTTTTCTTTTTTCTTTCTCCAAAGGATGGTGAACAAATGCTAGCATTAAACGATGAGAATATTATTTCCCATGCTATATACCACATAATTTGTCCTGTACAACATATAAAAAATAGGTGAAATTTATTTATTTTCTTTCTCTTTTCTTCTTCTTAACGAGATCTATAAATTTTTATGTGTGTTAAAGAGATAATTTTATCTCCTACAATATAAAAAATGTTAATTTGATGTATGAATACCTTTAGGACACAGCTCACTAACACGCTCGATAAAACATAAACCACTATTATAGATGTTAATATAAATATTAATATCGACATCATCACTGATAGACTTTAAATTCATAATATTTTAAATACAAAATGAAGCTTTAAAATTTCTAAATTAAGAACTAAAATATGAATTTAATGTCTATAATTTATTAATATTTAAATAATAATATGAATGGTGATTAAGTTCTTTTTTATTAATTAAGTTAATTTTTATATTTTTTTGGTGTTTTAGATATTTGGGAAGATATAAAGGTACAAATATCATGATTACTGTCAAAATTAAATAAAATCTCATATAGAATATTTGGCACCTGAGCACTCAAAAAAAAAAATCCAATCCTAATTCCTAGACGCTGGCATCTTTATAAATATTACTTTCATGACTTTCTAAAGATTATCATTCGATAAAGGGAGAAAGTGATCAAACAATTTCATAAGCTTAGAGATCAAGGAAGAAGGGGGAAGGAAGATCGAAGCGTCATCATGGAGATCAACCAACACACAATCTATGATTCTTTCTAATTTTATTTTCTTTTTTGTTTTGTTTAAGCCAGCTATGTCTAGCTAATTTTCTTTATAGTTAGGGATATGGATCCAATGTGAACCTTTATTTTGATTTAACTTTCATTTCAATAAAATTTGTCTCAAATTATTATGTGTTTATCTCGAATTACTTATTTAAATTCTTGTATGATTTGATCAACCATATAGGAATAAAGAGGGTTAGGATTCTTAATAGAGATATTGGGATCTTAATCTAGGCAGGGGTAAACACTAATTCTTACATGTTCTAGACATAGACTTGTAGAAATTGCAAACTTGTGAGATTCATCGCGCGTAAAGCTTAATCTAAAGGGGGTTTCTAAGACTTTAGGATTTTAATTAGGTTAAAAGATTAAATAACTAAGACATTAGAGATTTAACCAATTATCTCTTAGATGATGAATTATTTGGAACAATAGCGATAGAAATTATTGAATTGAGTTAAATCATTTAAGGGGGATCAGAGGTGAAGTAAACCTTAACTGTATTTTCCATCCTTAATTTTCAAACCCATCTTTTAATTGTTTGAACCATTTTCTTGCATTTAAGTATTACTTGGCATTTGTTCTTTGCTTTCTCTAATTGGCTTCCCATCAATTAAACATTAGTCTTCCCAACCAACTTTTGATTTGTCCAAATTAAGCGAAATAGTAAAATAGTGTTTGGAACACCTAATCCTCGTGGGAACGGTACGCTACTCACTTCTTTATTACTTGTACGACCGATATACTTGCCATGAGCTTAACAATCACTTACCCGTTTACGTTGTTGGGTTTTTTCTTTTTTGGAATACTAGTTGTTTAGTTAAATTGATGCATTATATAATATTAGAACTTGCGATCAAATGATCATCACCAGTTTGGTTGCCGTTAATGATATCAAAGACATTACTTATAAGCTGAAGTTTAAATTATTGGGATGAATTTAGTACATTAATTAAGTGGTTACTAGTTCAAACCTCATCATCCTTCAGATACATTTTTCAGAGTCCCGTTACTTAACATTTTTATATGATGATAAACTAAGATACAAAATTAAGATGTGATTGTACAAGGGGGCGGACCCAGTAGGGGGCTAGGGTGGGCCTCCCGCCCCCTCTAAAATTTGGAAAAAAAATTATAATATATGTAGAAAAATATGATGATGAAATTACCGTATTATACACATTTTTTCCTTCAGTTCACCATGCTTCTGTCCACACTCTTATCCATATTTTTCCTTGAGAACATCATATCATCCTCTCTCTCCTTTCTGTGTTTCGTCCATCACCAACCTCCTTCTTCAGCCTTTCAATTTTAGCTGTGTAAATTCTAGAGTCAGGCAGAATTAACTTCCACCTTTCTAAGATTTGCATGTATGTATAGTCATAGACTATCTTTGATTACATATTTTGAAAAAAAAAATATTTTGAGTTTTAGCACGGATTCAATTATATTTGAGTTTAATAATATCAAAACACGTAGAGAAAGAGTAAGTGAAGAGATATTAATTTTTGTAATAGATTTCTTTCAATTTTTTGTATATTAAGTTTGTATTGTATTTCAAGTACTTGTATTTATGATATAGTATTTTTTATTTTCGCCCCTTCTTATTAAAATTCCTCCGTCCGTCATTTGTATAGAATGTAAGATGATGCCGGTGTGTACGTATGTGTGATTAGAATTATTTATTTATAATTTCCTAATTCGTTAACTTTTAAAAGATGAAGTATATAGGTCTTTATAATTAGATTGAATTCTTTGTTTTTGGACCCAAAAAAAAGAATTCAAAACAAGTTTTTATAGTTTGATTGAATACTAATTAGGTCTTTATAATCCAAAAGTTTTTTGAGAAGTTACCAAAAAAAATGCTCTTTTATGAAATATTTAGAAATATTTTTAAATAAGTACCTAAAAGCTTACTCTTTAGACTTTGTTAACTTTTGGTATTGTGTCAACCTCCAATCTCAACTATCCCAATTAATTGTGCTCCTAACGACCTCTTTCGGATCCCTAAATTCCCTCCTCCTTTGCCATTTGCAAGTACTGCATATGAATCTCCTAACCCTTTTCTGTCTTTGAATGTTGCACTTGTTTCCTCCAATAAATGGTTCTTGTTGGTGATCTTTACCTTTTGCACAAAAATCCAACTTCTTAGAATGATCTTAGAGAAGTAGGCAATGAGGAGCTTTCATTATCTCAGAGAAGTATTGGGCAATGAGTCACCCGTTCCAAGTTATGGTGTCAAAGTCGATTCCACCCAAGAAGTTGCCTTCGGGTATATATAAGAATTGCAAAAGGGGTGATGAAATTTGAAAATATTCTTTCGAGTCAGTTTGAGACATTTTTTTTAAGTTAAAAATTACTTTTAAGCTAAATTAAAAATAAAAATAAAAAAAAATTAAAATCTATTTAGTGATTACATAAGTTATTCTAATAGTTTTGAAGGAGAAAAGATGAAATAATTTGTTATTGACACTACAAAAAAACACAGGATTTAACCACATTGGTGTAGCAACATTTATTGAAATGATGGTATAAATAGGAAAGTACCATAAATTTTACTACACTGTTTACCAATGTGGTAAAATTACCCTTAAAAACAATCATTTTGTATCAAAATCACACAAACAAAAACGTCTTTCCTTATTACAAAAAAAAAAAAAAAACGTCTTTCCCCGTAAAAAAACCCTAAGGTTTAACTTTGCCGTTCGTAAGCCTCAAGGTCAAATGAAACTTTGTAATCTTTAGTTTTACCTTTTTCTTTCAATTTTTCATCATTCGATGTCTTCAAATCTTCGAACACAGCAAGTTCACAATTTCTTCAAATCCTCGTTTTATTTTGCATTTGCGCTTCATCACCTTCGTCTATGGTTGAACATTGAAGGTTGAAGAGCATTTTGAGTTCACCATTTGCAATCATCGGGTTGTAGCCTCTTTTCACTGACGTCGTTTGCATTTGTCTGCTTTCTTCATCTTTGTTAGGTATTTCCTTCCATTGGAGCTCGTTATTATTCCTCGGTGATTTCCTATTCTTCTAGCTTTTGTTCTTTGGTCTTGTCTTCAACTTTGCTTTAATTTTCTTAATTTGTTCAAGTTAAAAGGGATATATAAGGATCTTAGTAAGGGTTTTGTTTGAATTTTGCAGAATATTAGTCTAGATATGGGCCACATTGCTATAGTACCGCTGATCGTGGGAAGGGCAACTTGAAAGAGAATAGAGAAAGAGAGGAAAAGAGGTAGAAAACCCGGAAGAGGCCATGAATTGAGAATATTGATTGAGATTTGTGCTGGTTGGTGGGTTGATTTGCTTTGCTCCTCAAATTGTTGAGTTTGAACTCGCGGTGGAAATTAAAAGCAGAGAGAGAAATGAGGTCTCTGTTGGACTGTCCTACGAGACAATCAACTTGTGGTCGTTCAATGGTGCGGCTCTAAAGATTCTCATACATAGCTGGATTGAATAAGAATCCATGTCATGACATTCAGTCGAAGGTGAAGGTCTTGTTTGCTAGCCGTCTTTACAAAATATGAACTGTATGCAGCCTTTACCGTGTTAATTTTTCTTGTTTTTGTAGTATTTGACTGCATGAGACTATGAGAGTGATGGTCTTCAAGCTATTAACACCAGAATATTAGTAGTGGTGTTAATAGCACTTCTAATGGATTAGATAGAGAGAAGACATCATTTGAACTCCATCTGGAAGCTCTGGATATGTGGATTTGGGATATAGTGCCAGTGCAAGTTCTTTAGCTGTGGATAATGTTAGAAGCTGTTTCTTTCCATGGTATATAAGGGCATGTCTTGTGAATCATGGTCTCTTTTTTAATTGAGTTTCTGCTCAAGTAGGTGGTGGATGCCAAAAATGTTTGCTTC